CCAAAATACCAAAAAAACAGAAGCCGTAAAGTACAGTACAGTACAGTAAAGTAAAGTACAGTAAAATAAAGTAAAGTACTCGTAAGGGTAAAGTGTATCTCTGGCTGTCTCTCGTTCTCTCTGTCTCACCACCCCTGTGAACGTAATATTATTCGTATTGTATACAGGAGTGCATGGAATCGCGCGTATGCATTCATACTTTTTTCCCGTATTTGCTCTACGGTTTTACTTTTTATCTTTCTTTACATATTCCAGATTATGATAAAATCCCCATATCTCCTTGCATTAGCTGTGACATATATTTTGAACGGCTCATGCGGTCTTTACAATTGTACGAATCACCCAAGACATGCAGCCGTAGCACATTTCATACATCGCTGCCCTCGGTGCAACTTTCATTGTAATTTCCTGAGCGCCATTGCTTCACTCCGAGCAGCGGTGGGGAATCCGGGTGTTCAAAGAAGAGTTTAAAAGTCAAATATGTGCCGGAGAGGATTTTAGACTGATGTTATTTATGTGTGTATCATATATGCTTTGGTTTCCGTGTTTCTTTTTAAAAATTTTTGGTGCTAACCGACGTATGTGGTGTAGCTGCCAGGCGCTTCGTCGTAGCTCGCAGATGATCTGAGATCGATTCCCGTGTGGGGAGAATTTTTTATCGAGTATCTCGGTCTTTCTGCGGGGACGTTGTTGTGTCCCTCTCAGCCCGGGTTGGTCCGGACAGGCGTGGTCGAAGCTCGCCCCCTGAATGATCTAAATTGTGTCGATGGGAACGTAAAAGGCCTTCATTACAACAAACAAACACCCCACCCCCCCAAAAAAAAAAAAAAAAAAAATTTAAAACCCAACTACAACAACAAACCTCACAATGTGCTATTTCAGGGGGGAGGCTGTAGTCTGTTAGATAGGTTTTTTGTGTGCTGTTTTTGCTGTTTAAAAAAAAATCTAAGCTTGCCTTAGTTTTTGTAGTCTATTACTTTACTTTATGGTTACTTTAAAGTTATTTATTTACCCCCAAAAAAATGTCTTCGTACGTGTGAGATTCGCTGCAACTTTGTTTAAAAGCCGTTGAATAGGGGCCTGCTCCATTCATGATTCACGTTTTTCCCCCTTTCTTTTGTTGCGGATCACTGGCGCTGCGGACCACTTGAACAACACATATGAATTATCTACAGGCCCGGTGTTTTATTGTCAAAAAGGGACTGAATGACTCTTGGAGTAATGGGAGATTTATGTATTGATTTGTTGAGTTCGATTTCTGTGAGTGTATTATGTTGCAACGAGCGAGGTGTATGACTTGTG